TAAACCTGACGCAAGATATTTGACTAAAAATCCAATTGGTCCTGATAAAAAGAATGATTCGTTCGAAGTGAGTAACCTCAAGAACGTTGAGATTAAAACAGATAGAAAGAAGATTGTAGGAAAAGAGGAGGACGATTCTCGAGGGAGATTGAATAGGAGGAGAGGTCAGGAACGTTCTGGCAAAATGATCCATGATCGTACGAATGAAAAAATTCCTCTTATACGCCGACTTCGAGGAGACTGGAAAGAGATCAAAAAGGACGAAGAAATGACTTCTCGTATAAAGACTGAGAAGACTTATCGTCGATCGGTAGAAGAAAAAAGGAATAAAACAGTCTCGGTAGTTGTGCCGAAAAAGGGAGATGTGCTTGACAGGCAAAGCGGATGGGCGTATCGTGACAATGATAAAGAACCAAAATTTCTTACAAATCGTGAAAAACGAATGAACGTTCCCAAGGGATACGAGGCTAATGACCAAATGTCAAATCTACCTTCGAAAGAGAAATACAATCAAATGGGTTTGCATTTTTTCTTATTTAACGTAAAATACTAACCAAATGTTTTCTTTTTCTTTCTCTTTCTCTCTTTCGCGTTACTTAGAAGAACCTGTTTTTTTTATATTAAAATTCGATAATTCATTAATGTGATAAAAATTTGACTCAGTTACAATGGTAAATATTATAAGTGACACGCAGTTTCTTCCTATAATATTTTTCGTTCTTCTTTATTTTCCCTTTCTGAATTTAAGTTTTACGAATGAATGAGATTGAGAGAGTATAATTGTATAAAATAAAAGTACAAAATAGACAAATTTAATTTATAATTAGGTACAGAAAAGTTGACGTTTAATACAGTACTTGGAAATAATATCGATGATAAGGATATAAGGTGCACTAAATCAAGAGATTCCAAGTTAATGGAGTCAAGTTTAACCATTAATGAAGATCATACAAGGACGAACGAGTCACGTTATTGGAATATAAGATCGATTCCTTCGCTATCTCGTAAAAACGATATTGGTAAAAAACAAAGAAACAAACGAAAAAAAAAGGAATAGAAAATGAGAATAAAAAAGAATTATTAACGAAGGATATATCGAAACGAAAGTACGCGTGTACTACGATCGATCGATTGTCAATCGAGATTCCTTCGAGTGGTTGGCGAATCGTATTTCGTAATTAACTCGCCGCATAGTCGAATAATGTGATTTGTAATGGCATGCGTGTGTATGCATATATTCTGTTTCATATCCTAGAGAGATTCCTACTTTGTAGGCTCTCCAAACACGATCGAATACCAATTATCGGACGAGCACTTCGTGAAGCTTGGTTGGACCGTATTACCTATTAGGAAATTTATGAGGAAAATACCTCTCTACGAAAGCAAGATGGCAAAGCCTCATTTGGACTGGTACGTATACATTTACAATTCGCATTTCGATAATTACTCCTATTTCAATAATCCATTCCATCTCGGTTTCTTCTATTATAATAATTTCACATTTTTTAACATTCGTCGTATGTAGATGGTATTTAAGAATTACACATTATACAATATTTTATTATATTTGCTCGTTAGTCACGGCCTACAACATCCCGAGAAGCTCGAGAGCACGCCTATAATTCTTTCTTTTGTAATATTTTCTATTATAATTTCCCCTATGTATATATATATATAAGAAAAGAAAAAAAACCAACACGACCTAGATGAAATTAAAAAAAATTAATAGATTTTTACGTATGTAGAAAATGGAAATGTCATTGGTCGTTCATCGGAAAAGGAAAAAAAAGAATTAAAAAAAAAACAAATTGAAAATAACTATGAGAATAGAGATATATAAAATATAATATATGGATAAACGAAAGGTACTCGTAATGAAATTAAAGTGCTCGTGTAATATCACGGGGATTTACATTAAAACTCTTATACTAAAGGGTTCTAATTTGAAGAGATAAAGAAAGACGAGAGATGATAAAACAAGAGAGAGAGAGAGAGAGAAAAAAAGAAAGAATAGGTAATTTCCATAAACGACGTGCTATATTATAAAAAATCGAAAGAAGGTTGAGCTCGTAGAACGTGTCGGAATCTCGTTAACTCTCCTTATTACATTGTTCCTCGAGAATAACTTCTCTATTACTTACTAACGAGTTAACAATTAGCGCGGAATGGGATGGGATGGGATGGGGTGGGGCGGGGGTGGCAATGGCGAAGGTGAAGGTACCGGTAGTAGGGGAGCTTTCAGAGGAAGAAGGATAGCGAGGCTTAATAAGACGATATTAGCGAGAAACATAGCGTTTTAATTTACTACGATGAGCGAACTTCTGCAATTTGTCGCAATTAATCGTAATATTCTTCTCTCGTGTCTATTCTTGGGTGCCTTCAGGTTCAAGAAATATCGATACGAAACTAAAAGATATTACGAAGATGGTGTCACGCCTTTCTTGACCTTCCACCCTGATGCAACAACGGCCGAACTTTTTTATCCGAATGGTCGGATAGCCGTCAAAATTGACAAACCGGAAAATCGAGAATGTAATTGATCATCACCTACCTCTGCAATTCGTATATAATATTCATCAAATATCTGATTTATTATTTATTTAAATACGTATAGGGTGTTTTTTCAATAATTTTGAAAAACTATATTCTACCCATAATACGTCAATATGATTTGATTTACTCAAAACACCATCTATATTTTACTCATCTTTTATCTTTCTTATTATATAAACTTAATTTCTTAAACATATTTATATTTTATATAAGATAAAATAATCAGGATAGGAAAGTACTCATAATTTAATGAATTTCAAGATGACACATATACCGTGTTCACACCAGGAGGCAAGGACATTGTGGGTCTAGGGAAAAAGCAACAATTAATTGCAATATTCGATAGTCTAGGCAACGGTATTATTCTCGACGAGAATGGCACTACGAGGTTTGTACAATTAAATAAATAAACAAAAAAAAAAAACAATAAAAATGCAAAAGCGAAAAATGCGAAGAGAAAAAAAATTGTAGTATTTTTAACCAATGCTTTTTTAATTACAATCTATAACCCTCTTTCTTGATTATTTCCACAGACTTTCTTATAATCAGATCGGGGGTATTTGGAAGGATAATCCCGGAGGGTTGCCCTTTCTATGGACGTGGAGTAGCAATGTCGAGGAACCTATCATAGAAAACGTATATTTGGTTGGTATATATATATCTATAATAGTATTAAACTTATACATATATTATATAATGTTATATCGATTAAATCGTCTTATGTGATAGATATTGATAATAATTGAGCATTATATTGAATCATCCAATAATGTATTATACCATATCATTAATAATTAATCATTGTTACGGCGTGATAATATTCACAGGAAAAATCAACGAACGAATTAGAAAAATTATTATCAGCTTGGAAAAAGAATCTTGAAAGGTAAGTGCTTCTTTCGAATTTTGTTTAACAGATTAAATGTATCGTTCGATCGTTATTACCGAAAGCACGAAAACTCCGAGGATGAGAGAAAAAACAGAGATCGCAAGTGTTGATCGAAAACCCGTTGTTATTCCTGCTGCTGTTGTCGAGGAACGTAAAGAATCTGGGTACGTATCTGATAAAAAATGTAAATCGATTTGCGTTAGAGTAAACATTATTTTTTAAGATTGTTCTTTCTTTTTCGATCAGGTTGAAAGACGACAACAAAATTATGAAAATAATCTGTTTGAAGTTAAACAAATATCTAAGTTTTCGAATTCTTGATCGTAGAAATGTCAGTTTGCAATTTTTTTCTGGCGTTAAAAGCATCAGGTATGTTTTGTAAAATAATATAGTTAGGACAATATGCAGATTTGTTTTAAAAATAATCAAATGATATTATATAATATATATAAATCATAGGATAGAGTTAGGAACAATATTAGATTATAATAAACAATTGACTTCATATTACGAGGATATGATAGATTGGAGAAAAGCTGCACAAAGGTACATACATTACGATACATTTATGATACAATTCATAAAATTACTTAACTTTTCATATACTCTTATTTTCTTCCAGATGTAGATTCCAGAAGTGTTGGAATAAGAACTTAGGAACCACCCTCTGATAGTAATACGATTAGTACGATTAATCAAGAGTAATCAAATATATTAGAAGTTCGCGATGTTAGTCAAATACGAACCCTTATTTAAAAAATATATATAAATAATTATTCTCTAACTTAATCTGTTAAACTAACGTTAAACAATGGAAAAATTCGAAAGTGTTGTAAAATGCTTTATTATATCTAGTAATTGAATTCCTTTCTGCATCAACATATTTTTAACACAATATACGTACCTTAATAAGCACTCGAGATAGATTTTCCACCTTTCCCATGGCAAACATGATATTACCTAACGAGCTATAACATCTCTATTGACTCTTACAAGGTAAAGGAAATTACCATGAGAAGGTAGTTACCGTAAGACCTTCCCCATATTGTCTATCCTCACTCATAAAGCAACAACATTTCCAACGATCCACAACGTATATAATGTTCTATCAATAAAGTCTGTAGTTGCCTATTAAATTTACCATACCTGCTTGTTTCGCTACACTTTTTGCACAACTATCGAGTCTAATTTTTACACCGTTAATCAATTTAATATTGAAACTAATGATCGATCATTAAAAATCATAATACTTACGTCTTACAGTTTAACGACTCGATATATCTAATCGATCGCTTGTATTCTCTTTAGATACAAAAAAATAATGTATTTATATTATATATGCAATACCTATCTACATATTATACATACAAACTTCTACTCTCACACCATATTTATATGCATGTATTTACATGTACATGTGATCTCCATTCGTCAACCAGATTTTGTGTATTGAGTAATGACGGGAAAGAAAAAAACAAACGCCGAGGTAAACGTATAGGTAAAAATGATCAATATAATTAAAATAATAATGAAATAATCGAAAATATAATTTCTCGTAGACGCATTCTCGCTATTATTTTGTTACAAGTACAGTACAACACATATATGTACGTACAATAAATGTAATGTCAGTTCGCGAGTATCAATGACGCACGCAATTGAATATACGTTTCGTCGTATATTCATTTCTGACCTGTATTTTCGCGTATCTTTTTCTTTTATATTGTTCTTTGTTTTTCCTCAAAAGAATAACAAACAAATAAATTAAAACAAAAAGAAAAATGAATAAAAACCATATCTGTCCTTATGTATTATGGATTGTGCTTAAAACACATACGTAATGCAATATTCCCTCGACTTGGGAATATTTTGTTTGTCCTTTTCTCGTTATAACTTAAACGCTAAACGAAGTATTATGAAAATTATCCACATTGGGAGAGGACAAAATCGACATTGCGAGAAAAAAAATAAGTTAGGGTTAGATCGATCAATGGCTGGGAATGAAAATGATGATTGAGTGTGAGAAAGAGAGATAGAAAGAGAAAAGAAAGAGTATTCGTGTTGTTAAGAATAATATTAAAAATGTCGCGAAGACAAATAAATAGAAAAATTCTAAAATAATAATAATAGAAAAAGTCGCCGAGTAAAGGAAACTTGGACGAACTTTTCGCGTTGGCGACAAATCACAAAGTTTGCGATATGTCCTGAGCTACCATGAAGATGAAACGAAATAACTCAAGTAAAACGAGAGCACACAATTTGATATGCATGTATAATATGTAAGTATGTATGTACGAATTGTCCCATTTAAAATCGAATATTAAAATAAATATTTTCCTCGAATCGGGTGCCATGACAAATTGTTACATGGTGGAATACATATGTTAACATTTTCTATCCTCAAATTTATTTCGTTTTAAGCTATCATATTATTACAAGAAAAAATATATAATATGATCGCAAAGACAAATTCGCTTTATTTCCATCTTCGAACAAATGCAAATTATTGTAGTTTTATCGAATTTCTTCATATTACACTATTCAAGGGAAATATTGAAGGGTTCGATTTAAAACGAAACATCTTACATACATGCGTGTACGTATGAGTGAGTGAGTGAGTGAGTGAGTGAGTGTGAGCGAATGTATATATAAATAAGAAAGTGTGCACGGGTGATGATCGAAAGCGCAGGATTCCGTGCGAAAATTTGTCAAAAGTTTCAAAAGACAATTCCGATAGCCTGCGATTTATGTACAATGTCTATAAAAAACTAATTTAGCCAATACTCCTGCGATCTTACATAATTCACTGACAAAATCGCAGGTGTATTGGCCACCTAACATAGAAGATGACACGCTCTGCGAAAAACGTTACCTCGATTACGTGTTCTCTCGATCGATTATTTTTTCGCTTATTAGAGAGAAGTTAACAAAAGTAACAAATTATATATCTGCAATACATCGAGAAATGTAAAAGTGCTTTAATTTAATCATATTTTATCGAGGACACTTCCTAACATCAGAGTTTTCTTCTCATAGATTAACACACGAGAAATTTGATCACAACGCGAACGAGAAAGTTTCCTTCGACTTCGAAAGTCGATATGACCGAATTTCTATACGAAGTATTCTGATATCTCTGTGGAGAATTTGATCGTATGTAAAGAGAAAGAGAAAAAGAGAGAGAGATAGAGAGGGAGATGGGATTCCGAGAAGGAAACGATTCGATAAGCGACGAATATGAAGAAACGGGAGAAATAAAAGGAATAAAGAAAGGAAAAGAATAAAGAGATGGAATCCCCGATAAATCTCGAGTCGTGAACGAAATAACGTCTCGACGAGCGGTCCCAAGGGTTCGTCCTTTCCTTTAGGATCGTCGACGTACCCTCCTTCCAACCAACCAGCCAACCAACCCCCATAAGAGGTCCTTATTCGAGGTCCTTCGAGTAGTTAGACGTAAGAACGTCTTCTCAATTGGCGACCTTGATGAACTCAGGATTCGGTACGGTACAATTGTCAGTGGCGTAGGCCGGATGAACGAAAGTACTTCCAATTGCAACGTTCTTCCGATCAACCGAACGTACCCTGACGAAGAGGAAAGCAGCAACGAGAGATGCTACGACCACTACGAGCAGCAACATCACCAGACCTCCAACGAAGCCTGGTAAACTCATACAAATCGTCTCAGGATCAGTCGAAGCACTGGCGTTTTGTATTACGACAGTAGTATCGTTGTTAGAATTCGTCGTTCCCAATGCAAAATTCACATCACCAGGTGCTACTACTTGAATAATTCTCGACGTGTTAACGTCCGTCATCTCTTGGGCAGCTCGTTTGTACACATGATTCGTGACTAGAGAGACTGTATGATAGAATGTCTGAAATCAAATTGATAATAATAATAATCAATGCTTTATAAATTCTAATCTCGAATAAATAATAGATAATAATTATATAGAAGCGAATATCTGTATTGTATTATCAAAAATCAATATGAATAAATGATGAAGATAATCGCAACTCACGTCATCGTCTTCCTCAAAACGATCGTGTCTTCGTCTCCGAGCTCCCCTAAGCTCGGCTGGAAAACCTTCGACCGATCTTGGTCGGCCTCCGAGGGTGGCTAGGTTACCCTCGAGCTCCTCCGAACTGGCCGTACCTTTTCTTTTGACAGTTTGATAAGCTCCAACTGGGTGACCGGGTAGAGGAGGTGGAGGGAGATGTATATTATCATTAGAACTCTGAGGTGAACTACTAGCCGTCGCATCGCCAGGCGTTGAACTTGGCGAGGATGAGGACGTTTGCGCTTGAGGTGCTGGGACCACATCCGGATTCGGCTCACTGATGGATTCCGGACACAAAAATAAACGCATAAATATAAGTAATAGATATTCTCCATCCGTAATTAGTTCAATGAATAGAAAATGAAGATAAATTTGTCTCACCTGTAAGCTCCAGCTGGTCCACTAGGATGCCTGGGATCGGGATAAGCAGGTGGTACACTATACTCCGGCAACGGGGGTTGTCCATATTCGGAGGACACGCTTTGGTGGACCGGAGTACCGTAATCCTGAGACAAGGAAGCAGCGGGTGCACCGTATTCCAAGCCCGGATGACCGCACTTCAGTTCGGGGCAATTGTAACGGCAGACTTGAATCACGCATTGGAAATGAACGTTCATACTGTCGGGGAATTTGAAGGCTTGGAAGTAAGCAAAACTGACGACAGAAGCGCTCGGTCCAAAATTCTTCACCTTGTGGAACCTTTCGAATAAAAACGATAGAGTGATTGTTATCGATCGTTGTTCGTAGATTGCAATAAGCAAAATAAGTATACTCATACCTGGACATGATCTTAGGCCTGACGACGCACCCGTACTGATCGACCAACTGAATCGGTGCTCTTTTGCCGTCATGGGCAACACAGTTCCTGACCAGCATATCGAACTTATTTTCTACGTCCTTGATGGCAAGTACCATAGTCATAGTCTGTCCAATTTTAACGATACCAGATACCTCGCTGGCCCATGGTCCTTTCCCGACTTGTATTTGCATCCAACATTGTAGATTATCACCGAGGAAGTTAGCTGTTACGGCGTGCAACATGTCTACTTGGAACGGCCTAAAGTTGACTTGCTTCTCGTAATAGTCATACCAAGTGCAACGAAGTTTTCTTGCCTGGTCCCAAACTTCTTGGACGTAACGATCGTATTGAACTATGATTGTGTTCTCGACGTAACTGCCCGATGGCGTGGGTGCTCCGTAAGTAGCTACGTTGTGATTGGCCGAAGACGTCATGCCACACGAATTCAAGAAGATCTCAAAAGTTGCACTCAAATGACCGGTGCCTGGTTTTAGATGAACGCAATGGGGGTCCGAATAAAAACCCTTGCTGAAGATCATACCGTAAAAGGGTCGATCGAACTCGATGTTGACCCGCATATGCGTCTTCTCGCATTGCACCTGTAGATGCTTTATCTGCGGTGTGTCGGGTGAAGCCAAAGGCCAATTCTCTTCCGCTCCGTGAGATGTGGGAGGTCCATATTGCGCCGGTGGACCGTAAACCGATCTGTGCTCCAATGGCAAAGCGCTACTGTCGACGAGCGGTGCCTCACATTTTACACCCTACAAATTTCATCATTTTATTATATCTTTATGCACTTTTAATATTGTATTACATGTACATTTCACATCATTTTATATATTTACAAACATAATAAACATGCAATTCAATATTAAAACACGTACGTAATTAATATTTTATCTCTTAACTCGTTACTACGTACCTAAATTTACATAATATTAATCTTTAAATTCTGGTAAGAAATATCTCATTGTACCGCTAACTTCCACTGCTCGAATGCCCTAAACCTACAAGGCACGTCCTAAAAATCCACTCGGCGCATTTCGAAATGCGCTTGGCTATTATAACGGCAAGAAAGCCGGTCGAGTCGATAAAAAAATTTAGGCAAGACGCGTTAAGGACCCTTTTTTTGAAGAGGAACGATCGCGTTGAAATGGACAAAGCGGGACATAAACTAACATTAAGAATTCACTGAACGTCAACGACCATTGCAATCTTTCGCGGAATGCTAATCGAACTTGCGTATCACTCGGCGTTCGTGATTCCTTAGAATTCTCTTTTCTCTCCGCGATCCCCGCGGATTTGACGATCTAAACATTTTAATAACGAACAAATATTATATACTTTAATATATCAATCTCTTTTTTAAAAGTAAACCCTTTAGTCGTCATGATGTACAATCAAAGAGAATCTTCGATTGTATTCAACGATTTAAAGATTAAAAGAAATTGATGAAACGCTATACCGTAGGTTTCATTGGCAGTTGTAAGACGTTTTGTCAGGTTCTAGCTTGACGGAGTGAGTCACTCTAATGTGGAGCATGGCTGTAACTGTTTGCCAGTGCTCTTACCCTTAGATAGAAAAGGCTGCTTTTCTAGACACGTACTAGAACAACCGAGGTACTAACATGTGCGGTCGACGATTAGTCTGACTCTTTACAAAGTTTCCAAAGAAAAACGAGTTCGACTCGTTCTCATCGCTTTCGGAAAAGAAAATACTTACACGTGTATAACTATACATATACATGTAACCGACAGTGCGTTTCGATTCACGTGAATTTAGGACTCGAACTCTAAGAAGAATGCCGGCAGCCAAGCACAACCAACGCCCCGTAGGCGATTTCGCATTCTAGGTTAACACGATTGACATATGTATGTATGCGTTAGGCAGGTAGAATCCTCTCAACTTGTCCAAATCGATGATCGATTAAGGCCACTAAACATTTGCATTTATAGTCGAAAAATCAAATAGACCAATTCATCGATAAAATATCCAATCGTACTAATTCTTTCAATTATGCTGGACCTATGTGTATATATATATGTCTATTTGAACCGGTCTGGTTAGAATTTTACCATTTTTAGATTATAATTAATATATCTTACTCTATAACAAATATCAAAATTCATATTATATTTACCATTACATACTTAATCAGATAATAGAAAATAATATAACTGTTAAATATGAAAATACAACAATTCTGATACGATTTAATTCAACAATACACGAATATTTTAAACTGTTCTAAATTGTTCAACAATTCTAAAGCTCAACTATGTTCGATTTGAATATTTTCGTAAACGCGATATTAGCGGGCGCATGTGTAAAACATGGTTTTTTTAATACAAGAAATAGAAGGAAGTAAAAGAAAACGCGTTCTAAGATAACTGTATACGGGGCTGACTGGTCTTTATCGTGGTACGGATAAAGGTACGTTTATGCAGGGGTTTCAACATCGGTTTGATACGACTGGCGCTTACACAACCAGACTCGATGACAATATATTTTTTTTTTTTAACAAGATGGAACATTTTTCCCCATTTAATCCTAACGCAACGCTTACTTATAAAATTATTTAAAATGGAACATGTGCTAATCTTTAATTGTAAAAAAATACGAATCTGAAATACGTATGAGTTAATAATTGAGATTAAAGTGTTAAATCCTTAATCAAAAAAAGAAAAACTGGAGCGAAGAGTCATAGACTCGATAGGAGTACGGACAAGTATAAAAAGAGAGAGATAGAGAGAAAGTAAGAGAGAGAAAGAGATGTGCCGTCACAGGCGGACGACAGAGGAGGCCGATTCACGTTGAACAGGAAATACGCGGTTCGCACCTTCATTGGCACCAGGTCGGTCGTACGCATACTTGCTAACCGTCTTGTTCTACTTACACCTGCATTCAATTCGCTTACAAAGACTTTCCCAACAGAAAGTTAAGAATCGTTATTGAACGGTCCTACGAAATCAGAACTCTTTATGAAGGACCCAGAACTCTAATCAAATCTTATTTTCATATTTTAATAATAATTGCAAGAGATCCTTCAACGAAGTTTCTTCAGAAAGAAATAATATTACATATTTTGAGCACAACTATTGAAAATATATGAAATGATATTCTTTCGTACCGTTAAACTAATACAAAAAAATATAAAATAAGAATCAAGAGGATATCTATATTAAGATTTTGTTATTTTAACAATTATAAAATAATCATCGATAATAAGTATTATATACAGTAAACGATTATATTTTTTTTTAAAAGTTTGATAGACATATTTTAAAGAACGAAATGAAAAATCTGTCTCGGACGCTGATCGATCTGATAATAACAGAAAAATGAAAATCGTTAAAAAGAATTGTAAAAGTTTCTAAGGATATTAACCAGGGAGAAATAGTAAGAAGTTAACGACGATTTCACTTTTCCATTGTTATCCTCGGATGACCTGACCAGCCATATTGTTCCTACACCGGACACACTTTCACTAAATCGCACATACCAAACGTACCTAATTATCGCAAACGTTGGTAGGTAGTTTATCGTCTAGTTACTTCCACTTTTAAAATGATCCATTAAGATAGCGCGACTGGAATATATAATATTACTTCAAATGAACGAAAATAAAATAAAAAAAATAGATAGGGAGAGATAAGCGATCATAAAAGAACAATGTTATTTTCGTTTCGTCTTAGAAAACGATTAACTAATGCGTTGACTCGTTGTCTTTAAAAAAAAATGTTAGAAAGGATTAAACCGTAGAGAAAAAAATAATATTGTCGTCAATTTCTTTGTCGTCGTCGTCGTCGTCGTCGTCGGTTATGATATCGAAAAAGTAGGCCAAGTCAGTTGGTTAGTGTTGAGCAACATGCGTATCGCGCACGCACATGTTTTACAATAATACAACTATTGTATACTTAACGTCGTTCGACAAAATATTCCATGAAAAATATTACGTTAAATATAGTTGATGAGATCATAAATTTTAATCAATTTCCAATTTGAAATAATAATTTCAAATAGTTTATGAAATTACGAAGTGATACCAACAAAAAAACATGTAATAAAATCATCATTATCATCGAAGAAAAGTTTGCAAGCGTTCGCAAAAAAGACAATTCTACTCGTTTAACGTTAAAAGCAAGCTTATCGTATTAATTTAACACTGCATTCACATCTAATAAGTTAGAAGGCAATTTAACGAATCGCACCACCGAAAAGCTTAGAATAAAGTCGGCTTTTAAATCGAAACTTCTGAGTAAGGTTTGACACCGTTCTAATGTCACAAGCGCGAGAAGCTGAAGGCGATCTAATTAAAAGGAAACGATCAGAGGAACCCTGCACAAAGAACGTACCGTGAGAACTGAGTCGGGAGAGTTAACCGGTGTTGCCTTCTTTTAAGAATAGAACTCTCTATTTGGGATTTTAATTAAAAGAGAACATTGCCCCATGCCCCTGCGGACCAGACGAAACGAGCTTGCATTAAGGACGTGTAAAACTTTTTTCCGGAACAAGGAAAACGGGAAGAAAAATCATTCGCAAAGGAGATTTTCTAAATCCAATTCTATTTTTTTCCAAATAATCATAACCGGAAGTAACGCGTAACGCGAGGACTATTATTTAGGAATAGTAAAAAATCAATATTATTAAAATGAATTTTTCAATATAAATAATACGACTGATATATATATATATACACACATTTCCTTACAAGAATGTTGTACGAATACAATATTAATACGATCTGTTCTGTAATATATTCTATATATAAGAAAAAGATTAATAAATAAAACTTATTATTAATAGATAATAGCTCGATTTTCTAAGTCGTTAATCTCGAATTACGAGATGATCACGAACGAAGCTCAACACTAAACAGCCTATTCAACGAAAAAGCATCTCTTTGTGGTCGTCCGCAAGATTGCACGTTCGGTGTCGAACCACCAAGAACGTGTTCTTTTTCCTATCCATTATAATTTACCAATAGCGGTTTTATCGTTTCATTACACAATTCTATCTTATACTATGAATTTTCAAATATTAATATTCATTAGTTACAAATTAAATGTTGATTTAAATGCCGATATTTCGATATCTTCCCGACAGATTTTATGCTTCAATTTCTATTCACGTTTGCGTGTGCTACGTTAACATGACAATGAAAATGAAGCAGGATAAAAAAAGAAGAAGGAGAAAAAACAATTATTTTCTAGAGATCTATGTATTACAGTAGTATATCCTAGAAAGTGCAGAGAAATCGAGAGAATAATAGATGCCTCTGCCGACATTTGGGAACTAGCGTTGAACTACTCCCACGATAAATTAGTGGCCTAGGTCGGTTTCGTTCTAATTATAAGCTTACGTTGCAAACATTTTTCATTCGCTCGATGAAGAGAGAAAATAAAAAGGAAGAAAAAAGAAAAAAGAAAAAAGAGAGAAAAAAATTGCCGTTTCGCGGAAGCAACTAATGACGACGCATTCCAAGATTTTCCCCTTTTCTTTCCCTATGCGAAAGATAAAGCAAAGAAGGTTATCTCTAACGATAGAAAAACCGTATCCTTTGTTTCTTTAAAAAAAAAAAAAAAATATTCGAAAAAGACATTTAACTTATTAACGATCCATCAGATCGACAAAAGTCTCTTCACTTTTCTCATTCACGCGATCAAGAATAATTAATTACATATTATTAATTAAATCATAAACATTCGTAAAAGTATATATACAACTTTCTAATTATATCTCTATACAAGAAACTAAACAGCATCGATCAATCGATCAACCTCTTATTTTATAAGATGAAAACAAAAAAACCGAAGGAATCATAAAAAAAAGTATTTATTCTTCCTCAATACCCCTTTTTGACACGAACCTTCTGACACGCCCGCGTAACTTTCACATTTCGAAATGTGCAACATTCGTTTAAAAATACAAATGCGTGTGGAATGAGAAAACGAAGTGGTGCGTTTTAACTGACGTTTAATAAAAAAAGAAAAAAAAAAGAAGAACGGAAACAGAAAGAGGAGGGTTTGGCGGGGCAGGGAGAGGTTGGGGAGGGGGCCAGTTAGAAAAGGACAAGGGAGAGGTTTCCCGAGAAAGAAAGCTGCTGCTGCTACAACAGAGCAATGCAGAAAGAAAGAAAGAAAGAAGTTGTTGTTGATCCTCTGGTGCAAGTCGTCTAGAATCGTCCACGCTCCGCTACGTATTGCTCCGCTACGCATCGCGTCTCGTCTCTCTCTCTCTCTCTCTCTCTCATACGTTGTGAGAGAGATGGAGAGAGAGAGAGAGAGAAAGAACACCGTCTAGAGAGTAGAGTCAAAAGAGGGCAATACGTCCGACGCGTTGACCTACTATCTCCGCTCCGCCGCTCACCGGGCCAAATAGCTTCTTCCTTCAACAGTATTTTCTTTCCTTTCCTCATTCATGCACCGATCGCGTATTCGACCGTACTTATTCAATGTATATATATGTATCCTATAAATTGAATAAAAAAAAACCTAGACGATACATCATCTTATAGGTATACAATAACAGTATCCTACATTCTTGTATCAATTGAAACAAAACTCTCCCCCATTCGCTCATATGCATACGTTATTGCAATTTAGTCTCTATGAATTATGTTATACGGTTGATCATAATTGTTGATGGATACAAAAATGTTATCGCTTGACCGAACAATTATAAAATATATTCTATTCTATTTGAGAGAATATATAAAAAGCATATGTATGTGTCTCGGTTATTATGTTAAGGTAAAGCAAGAATTAGAATTAGAATTGAATTGAATTTGAAAAGAAACCCAAAAGGATTCTCTCTCGAACGAATGGTTTTGATTCTATAATATGACGTTTATCAGGAATTACTCGTTGTCAAAATAAATCGCAAATACGTTCGAATGTATCCACGAATTTTATCGCTTTGTTGGTAGTATATAGGAATATATATATATATATATACATATGTAGCACAAAAGATGGCCCGCGGCAATATAAGGGATTCGTCTCGATTCCTCTCGGCTCTTTCTCGTATCAATTCCAGAGTAACAGCACGTGGCGTGTTACGGATAGCGGCTCCCTCTCCCTCTCCCTCTCTCTCTCTTTCTCTTTTTCTTATGAATGAGTGATACTGAATTTTCCGGTTTTCCAAGAACCAAAAAAATGATACGTAACTTGTATGATTAAACAACAAAACGTTCCAATCGAACTTCTATTAATGACTACAAAATTGTGTTTAAACATTACAAGTATAAATAATAATGATCAAAAAATAGAAACGCTTAATTAGAGAAACTTATTTTCTCTTCTTTATTTTTAGAAATATTTCAAGAATACAGATCCATGTATTTTTAAATGATTGCATAATCATATTGACAAAACCTATATGATGAAAATGGTCGCTAATGATTCCATTGTTAATACGATCATTTAAAAATAAATTTTTGTCAAAAAGTAAAAAATATCTATCATAAAAAAGTAAAGCTTTATTAAGAAGGGCCCACGATGGAACATTTATTTTTCATTCGCGACGTCTTCACGGTCTCGCTTTAGCGAAATTTCATCGGATATTAAACACGATGCGAGGTCGATAAACGCACGGACAATATTCGCGAGAAAGCGTGAAATAATCCTAGTAGCCATAGGAGAAGCTCATAAAATAGATTCACCGGATTCACGAGAACGCAACGTAGCGGTGTTCGCGTTAACGACCGGTCCTGTCACTCCAAGGGGGAAATGTAAAACGGAATCCTTGCTAACCAACTACTAAACGTAAATGACAACGACGATGACAACGCATGGCGAGATTCGATGAAAGAATAAAGAAGAAAAAAAAAAAAAAAGAAAAAAAGAAAAGCAACAGAGAGAAAGATAACGTCTTAAGGAATGCAAGAAAATTAAAAAGATATATAAGACTGGCTTGCTTATCGTTGGGTTATCAAGCAGTACACCATGTGCAACAAAGAGACCATTAAGCGTAACCGTTTTTTATCTACAATTAACGAATTAACGGTAACCAATTATTTCTTTTCTAATTTCATTTCACTCATAGCCTAATAATTTTGTTCAAAGTAACAAAATAATAGGATATATCTATTAATACGGTACCATTGATATTACAGAAAACTTGTTTTGCACAAATGGAAAATTTCTTACAAATAAATATGATTAGTTATTTTATTTTGAACGATTACGACAACCGAAAATGATTAAAAATCAATGAAGAGATAAGAAAAATGAAGAATAATCAAATGAAATGAATTTGATAATTATACTCACGGCCAGGAACAGTAAAGGCAGCAATAAGATAAAGGCCCTCTTTCGTATACTCCGCCACGTCCTCTCCATCGTGTGTTCGTTTTTTCTCTGTAATACAAAAAAAGAAAAGAAAAAAGATAATCAAGTTGAAAGGAATCGTTGGAGAACGCAGTCCGTTCGCGTTATTTTTTTTTCCCCCGTTTGAATCAGCACACTGTAGATGATTGTCACCGACAATAGAAGAAAGACAAGAAATAAATAAATACGCGCGAAATATAAATTAGATGAAAAAGAATAAGAATAAGAGTGCATTTGTTAACAATCGTCGCCAGCCGGAAGCACAAGTAGCACGTCTACCTGTCCGATCCTCTCCGAAGAATGTTACGCAACGCGCATCCGACCCACTTCCTTCGAAATCGTTACCTTTAATTAAAAAGGATAAAAAAAAAAAAACATTTAAACGTTCGAAAACTTTTCTCCAGTCTACCTTTTCGTAAGATGAACTAATTTAATTATTATACCATTGTTTATATATTTCCGCAAACGATGTAATCTCATACGCGTTTCACAATATTGATAATATAAGAGGATGAAAAAGAAGATAACGCAACATTCCAAATATATGGAAGAAAAATAAAAAGGTAAGAGAAGAAAATTGTTCGTCTATCTGGAAAAACGTTGGAAGATTCACACCTGGCTCCGCCGAGTCCTGCGATAATCCTTCTTGTTTTTCTTCCTTGCTCCGTTTTTATTCTTTTCTTTCTCTCTCTCTCTCTCTCTCTCTCTTTCTCGCCTACCCTAAACGACGACGAGTCACACCTGTCGCACGAAACGAAACGTTGCTAACAGTTGATCCTCATCAGGCCATTCTTTTCAACGACGTTTCGACAAGAAAAAAAAGATTGCGCGCGCGCAATATAGGAAGAATGGACGGGCCCAGAGGTGGCTGTCCTGGCCGACGGGGACCGACTGAAGGTGCTAGCAACGCTCGTCTCGGCCACGAGCCACGTCCCACTGACCTACTGACGATCTCGATCGTTCCTACTGTGCCACCTTTCTTCCCACCATTACTACTACACCACATACAATTCCACCACTACCACTAACACGACCACCATAAGCTGCTCATTGCGATCAAGCTACCTCGAGTACCCATCTCTACGTCGGAGCAAGGTGCAAACAGGCCCACCGTTGTTGTCATTTCTACTATCCCCCCTACCCACTCGTTCCACCTCCTTTTGCCGGTGTTAGTTATTTATTTTTCTTTCTCAACGAATATATTATATAAAAGAGTTAAGATTCTCTCTCTTTCTCTCTCTCTCTCTCTCTCTCTCACACAGTACACTCGCGGCGTGAAGAACTTATTTTCAATTCGCAGTAATCTATTTTGATCCTTTTTTTTACCGTTAGGAGGTATTTGCTTTCACCGAAACGAGTAGGATAAGTAAGGTGGAAGGGGGGTGGGTGGGGGGGATCGACGATAAAGAGAATCTTTATGGTTCGATAATAAATGCAGTCGTTGCAATATCTTTTTCTTCGTACAGGTTCATTCTTAAGCTCGTTAAATTGTGAATAATTACGATGACTAATCGATTTAATGACAAAATTATTTACTCCGAGATATAATCGTTTTCATTTCGTTAAATAATTTATTAATTTGGTCAAAATTGTGTTAACGTTATGAGAAGGATTAAAAATATCATTTATTATTTAGATAAGTGTTACGATCTAAATAATCTTACGATAAAAAATTCTATAAATGAAACAAAATAAAAGAAAATATGTTACATATGTTACAATGTCACTTTAAAATGTTGCAATTAATTATTGATTCCGTAATTGATAATAGATACGATATTAGTATATTTGATTGTCCATGTATTATAGAACAAGGATAAATGTCGAAAGCAATAATAAATTCGTAACGATCGTATTTATGTATCTAATTGTAAATTTCATTTTATTTAATATACCAATCGGAGAGTTTTAATTTAAAGACTTTCTAAGAGAATTAATGGAAAACATCCTACGAGCACTATAAAGTATAACGCTAAAGATTACACATATACTTCCATTTTCAATAAAATTACTTTTATCCTTATTTTTTCCTAATAGTTGAAGTATAGGTACCTACTATGTATTTATATCAAATTATCGTAATATTCTGTAAAATTTTGCACAGGTAGAAAACATAGCATAACATATCTCGTGCGTATGCATGTATATGACACTTGCATAATTACACAAAAGTGATAAGAAGAGACTTTTGAACGAGTCAACGAGCAACGCACCGACCTAAATTTCTCACCCGCATAATGCTTACTCGTCCATCCGGAAGTGTCTTATGATAGTCCGTTTACAAGGACTCAATCCTTTTACGGCTTGATAATACGTGAAAGCGCGAGTGAACGTTTAAATACTCTCCCCATTGTATATTCCTCCTACTTTGTGTGTGTGTGAAGAATAATTTATAACATTTTTGAAAATCACGATATAAATTTAGAAAACAAATGTTACATTTTATTCGTAGATTATCGTAATCATTAAATAGGCTTTCTTAAAATAATATCTTCTTTAAAAATTAACATAATTCTTATTGAAACAATTTTTCATAATTAATTCTAAAGCTTTATTCAATTACTCGGCTGTTTTCAATCTTGTATATTGTATAATTCATAGATAGTCTATCGAAAAAGATAACTATAAGCGATGGATCAATTATATAATTTTGTACTAAAAACTTTTTTTATCAGGAATAAGGGAATAGGAATCTTACTCGTGTGAAAAACGTTTAGATAAACTTGAAAAAGAAAAATGGTGATGTCAAATTGAAAATAATAATACAAAGTATAATACTAAGGATCTAATCGATCATTCGATGGAAAAATAACGTGTCGATCGAAAGAGAGTTGAGGACTGGTAAAATCGAAGAGAAAGGGTTATTCGTGTTCGTTAAACAAGTTGTTGAGAACTAACACGATGTGATCTAAAAAAGACACGGTAGAATGGCGGGCTATTGGGAGAAAGCGGCCCCAAAAATAATTTCTCTGTAGCTCGGTAAGCCACTGAAAATAGACAACATGAACAGCTTGTCAACCTTCTATCTTCAAATTTCCTTATAAAGAATCAATTATTGAAGTAACAATTTTGTGGTGACCAAAATTAAGAGTACTTTACATCTCTGATTTCATGTTCTACAAACTTAATCAATACTGTTATTTACATCAAATCGATTAATGAGAACAATACAAAATATATCGCAACATTTTCCTAAATTAAACGATATAAATAAGCTCTATGTAATTATAGGAATATAAATCTAATTAAGAAATTATAATACGAATCTTAGAAAAAAAAAAAAAGAATACTAATAAAAATAAGAAAAGAAAAAACAAACTATTTGTAGTCTAGCGTCAGAAAAATGTACTAATTTGAAAAATTCAGAAATTAGATTCTCGGAAATATGGTACGTTTCACATTCATATATGGGTACGTATAGTCACCAGAAAATCCAATTAAAACTTTTCATTCATTCACGTAAATACAAATATCTCTTTTCTATCTCGAATATGTTTCACGTATAACTTCACACATGGCTCGTTGTAAGAAACACCATGAGAAGATGCGTATATATACATATATCAGTAAACATAACAGTATCTCACGTCCTAAATAAACGTAACAAGACACACACATACACAAACGAAGAAGGTAAAACTAAACGATCGTTTGTGTTGATGTCACAAATGGTACGATCATACGTAAACTCTTTAGAAATAAAATTATAGTAATTATCCGTATAATTAAACATGTTAATTTATTTTATTAAAGATGGAAAAATCGTTCAATTATTTTTAGTATTGGTTGAACCCATTTAACACCTATCAAAAAAAAATATAGCTATTATTTTAATATTAAGTAATTATGTATTATATATTGCAATATTATTCTATAAAAGACATATATAATCTAATTAGGTTTAAAAAAAACTACCATTAGATTCGCATAAAAAAAAAAGAAAACAAGAAAAGAAATGGCAACTGTAAAATTGAAATGTGATTAAAACGCGATTGAAACGTGATCGAAACACTGACACAATACTCTTTCATTTCGAATCTATAATGAATGGAAAACATGAAAATCATTCGTTGCGAGTGAATAATGTTCAATTCTATGTAGTTGTGATGACACCGTTGTAAAGGAAACGAGAATGCTGTAGTCCCGGTTTTATCGTCACGGAAATCAGATATCGGGTAGCAGCAAGGTAGTTGAAGAAGCTCCTTGTAACTTCTTTCCCCACCCCTCAGCTCATTCTTTTTTTTCTACAGCACCCTCACAAGTTATTATTATTTCTACCGGCTGAGAAGGTAGCACCCTTTGTCCACGAGCAAGGTGACAGGTGTGCGGGGAGCTCGTGACGTAATCAAGTACCGTTATGCGTGCACATGCTATGATACACATATAATACATACACATGTAAATATAATATATTCACCAAGCCACGTGAAACTCCACAAAAATAAGCCGCGAAACAGAAGCTACAACGGATCTACACAAACAAACATGATATTCTGCTATTTCGTGAAAGTGACAGGAGAGAACGAGAGAGAGAGAAGATAGCGACGTTGAATTTTTTCTTTAAAAAAAACGTACATATGCATGTATATCATTAGTTCGTGTAACGAAAAGATCAAATTGACTATCCGTTCGTTCCAGCGAAATATTATTATATTTTACTTTATTTAACTGACGTATCGTAGGTAACGGACAATTGTATCTCACAGGTATTTACTTTTTTAATTAATTAAAAGATAAATCAGTTATAGTAAGAACATTTGAATATATATTTTTAATTACATATTTATGTACGTTTTTATACTAATAATATAATATAAAAATAAAAAATACACATATTCGTATAAACCAAGATACTAATTAATAAATCGAATTTGATAATTAAATTAGATATAAAATCGTTTCGATCAAGTTCAAAGAAATGATTGATTTTTATGTAAGCGTTTATTTTATTCATTAGTCAATCCATTATTTATCTCGATGAAACGTCCAACCTCATTTTCTACTTTTTACATAGAGACTAACATAAATACTACGACGGTTAATATGTTTAGAAAATACCGAAGCAGAAAGTACTAAATTAAAGCGTCGTTCGAAAACCGTAGAAAATTGGACTCATGGTTTGTCAACGTCCTTGTTTACGAAACTTTCACGGGGAACACGTTCCTCTCGCTCATTAAAATGATACGACTGTAGGTTTTTTGCAAATCTACTAACCCCCACTCCCCCCTACCCTTCCCTCTAACACTTTTTGTCTACCAGTCTCGTGAAATTGTTGATACATATACACACACGTATAAATAGTATAGGTATATACGTATTATAAATATATTATATTATATTATACGCATATATATATACAATAATGAAAGCTATGCATATATATTTATATACCAATTAAAAATACTCATCACTTTTTCTCCAATTATTATCGAAATTCAACATATACAGATCTCGATCCTATTTGTAAATAACATACAACGAGCAAACATAAAGCGAATCTAAATGAATTCATTACTCGTTTAAAAGTTTACCATCAATGCAGTCGGCCTTCGTTCTGGATTCCAAACTCTCTTATTCTCTTATGTTTTTATTACATTTCAATATAGAGAGTATAGCGTATGATAAAGCTTACACTCAAAATTTGACGACAAGAGAAAATAGTAAGAGAAGCACGTCGAATGGTGCCCGCTGATGAAACGATGGTAATTGAATGCTTATGTATAATTTTATGCAACCTATAAAACAGAGTTCTAACAGAGTCCGGTGTTGTTGATAAATGAATCATTCTTCTCTCTCTCTCTCTCTCTCTCTCTCTCTCTCTCTCTCTCTCTCTCTCTCTCTCTCTCTCTCTCTTTCTCTCTCACTCTATTGTAAATACATTAAACGAATATGTATATGTATACAAACATAAATACCTACTCTCGCTTTCTC